TGGGTGTCCTGGTTGACCTCTGGAATTCGGGAAATATTTGAAGATCCTATGATAATGGTTGGTTTGGTTACTTCAGGGAGTGTCCATGTTGATTTGTTCTTGTTACAATCATGACGACGAGGATGGTTTGGTGATTTAGAACCTAAGCTTAGACGTCGACGGAAAGTAGAATTGGTTGATGATCTTGGAGTTTCGGGGTTGGATCTAGGTCTTGATGGGGTAGCAGGTGAACTTGTAGGTAGAGGTCTAACAGAATTGGAGATTGGAGTAAAAGGGGAGGTTGGTAAATTGGTGGTATTGGTTCTTTTGCTTGGAGTTGGTTGTGGGTAAGTAGAAGTACTAGGTAAGGAAGTAGGTGATCTCTGTCGCTTTCGGGAGGATGCTATTGGTTGGTTGATAGGTGGTTGAGCACGTTTAGGTGGAGAAGCTGGAGGGTCAACTATCATATCTGCATCAATACCAGAAGTCGAAATAGGGTCAGAATTTTTTAAAACCACCAATATTTGCGAGTATTTTTCAAGAGTTTGATTTTGGAGTCGCTTATAAGACTTTTTTGCCCAATTGATCGCTTCTTTAGAGTATTGATTAAAATTTTGTTCAGAGAGGTTGCGTGACTTTATCATAGTAATTTTGTCAGCAAGCATTGAATCATAATGATTCCAATGCCACGTCTTTGGCCCAACCTCTATTGATGGAGTCAATAGAGGCGGCAATTTTTGAATTCCTGAGAGCAGGCTTAATGAAGCGGTTAAGATCGTTAATTTTAAAAAGAAATCCACGAGTTGGTTGACCATTTGCTTGTTTAGAAATTACAGAGGCATGATGCAGACATTGGATGAGTTGGAAGAAGAGTTTCACCACAGGATTGGACTCATGTCTTTGGTTGAAATCTTGTCGGTGGTTGAAATCTGTCGTGTTAAGTATTAAAGAATATATTTTGATTATTTCAGTGTAGTGTTATGGTATTAAGTAATATATTTTGATTATTTCAGTGTGGTGTTATGGTATTAAGGAATATATTTTGATTATTTCAGTGTTGTGTTATGGTGTTAAGTAATATATTTTGATTATTTCAGCGTTGTGTTATGGTGTTAAATAACATATTCTGATTATTTCAGTGTTGTGTTATGGTATTAAGGAATATATTTTGATTATTTCAGTGTTGTGTTATGGTGTTAAGTAATATATTTTGATTATTTCAGTGTCGTATTATGGTATTAAGGAATATATATTGATTATTTCAGTATTGTGTTATGGTGTTAAGGAATATATTTTGATTATTTCAGTGTTGTATTATAGTGTTGAGGAATATATTTTGATTATTTCAGTGTCGTGTTATGGTATTAAGGAATATATTTTGATTATTTCAGTGTCGTGTTATGGTTTTAAGGAATATATTTGATTATTTCAGTGTTGTGTTATGGTATTAAGTAATATATTTTGATTATTTTAGTGTTGTATTATAGTGTTGAGGAATATATTTTGATTATTTCAGTGTTGTGTTATGGGGTTAAGTAATATATTCTGATTATTTCAGTGTCGTGTTATGGTGTTAAGGAATATATTTTGATTATTTCAGTGTTGTGTTATGGGGTTAAGTAATATATTCTGATAATTTCAGTGTCGTGTTATGGTGTTAAGGAATATGGTAGGACCTGAAGATTTAGATGATGAATTAGAAACAGAAGTAACTGATGAATGTGGAAAGTTTGGTGTTGTCAATAGAGTTATTATATATCAAGAAAAACAGAGTGAAGATGATGATGCTGAAATTATAGTCAAAATATTTGTTGAATTTTCTCAACAAGAAGGTAAGATTTCATGTGTTTCATTATGTTGACTACATTTCAGTCATAAAGTCGAAAATGAATGCAAGGAAAAGATTTCCATATATTTGCATTAACGAGCTGTTCAAAATATATTTGTGAAGACTACAATTTGGACTGCTTTGTATGTGCATATTGATGATTTTTTGGCCAGATATATGAGAAAATTTCCATTCTTTAGATTTTTCAATTGTTCTCATTGCAGAAGTTGAAAGGGGTATTGCTTCATTAAATGGTAGATTTTTTGGTGGAAGAAGAGTGAGAGCAGAGAAATATGATATGGATTTATATGAAAATAGTGATTTATCTGGTTAATTAAAATTTTTATCCATTGTTAAATAGTGCTGTTTAGTATATAAAAATATCCCTTCATTGAATCTTTTATAGAATGAAAAGTGAAATATATGAATGAAAATATGTATATATGTAAGAAAGAATCAAGTGTTTTTAAGGAAATGCATATTGACCCATATTCATGCTAAGTGATTTTTCTTGCTTTAAAAAAAGATTTGAAAAATTTCACAAACTCCCTTTACATGATATGATTTATGTAAAATGTAGGGATACAGGCTGAAATAGGTCAGTTGTCTGAACATCCCACAGTGTGAAACTTGTAAATCATAACATGTTTAAGGTTCTGTTTCTAAAAATCAAGAGACAATTATATAATCTGTAATTTTGGAATTATCTTTGTGTTCAAATCACTCTATTTTTAACATGTTATCCTGTCTTTAGTTCAAAAATCATGTCAAACTATGCTCATGCTGACATTATACCTTGTAAAGTAGTGAGAAGTGAGGAGCTATACTGAACTTGATACTGGTTCCAATTATCAAACAATAATAATTATAAATACATAAACTTGCTGGGATAATATGAAGATATACTTAAATTCTGTACAATTGTTTTCTTTTTTAAAAATCAATTGAATATCGAAGTACTATTATAGCTGAAAGAATTGTTAAATTGTTATTTGAAAATTATGTCATTTTTTTAATTAAAAGATTGTAAATTTCTGTAGTCTTAGATTTATCATGTGTTTCATTTCATGCACTGGCAACAGTACAACAATGTACCTCCATTTGGTGTATATTTAAGACTAAGGTCATTTCTACATGTTGTAGGAATTTATTCATCAATTCTTGCATCTAACACAAATTTCTATTTTTCAATGAGTTAAAAGAAAAAAAAAGGCAAGTGAAATTTGTTTGTTCCGTTTTTTTTTTTATTAGCTTTCATATTTGATAGAGTCACTTCAGATAGGCTCTAACTACAGCCCTCTTGAAGTTAGTCAAATTAACCTATGACTAACCAGATAAACGTTGCATCACCGCCAGCACTGGAGATGGTAGAAATTGCTGTAGTAATATGTTGTTACTAATATTTCTTCTCAATCTTTCAATCACTTAATACTTACCACTAAGATCATTGGTTATTTATTAGATAAATCATTCCACCAATTTGATCATAATATCATTGACCACTCAGATGATCAGAATACAAAAATCATTTAAGTTTCTTTAATAAAAAGGTCTTTCAACTTTTATATGTTGTGTTATAAACATTTTAATTTTCATTCATTTTGGAATTATAAGAGGTCTTGTGACTTAATTGAATGATCAGCTTGTAAATCAGGGCAAGTGTTGCTAAACAATTTTTATACGCCCACATAAAATGGGGCGCGTATATTGCCGTCAACCATGTCCGTCCGTCCGTCCGTTGATCCGTCCACAATGGGTCGTAAACACTCTACAAGGCACAATTCTTGACTGATTTTGACGAAACTTGGTATGGTCGTTTGTAATCACGACCCTATTGAAAATCAGAAAATTCGAAATATAAGTGTTATGAGTTATTGCCCTTGTTCTTGAAAATGCATTCAATTTGTAGCACGTAATCACTCTAAGAGGCACCATTCTTGATGGATTTTGATGAAACTTGGTGTGAGTGTAAGTAATCAAAAAATCAGAAAAATTGAAAAATATTATTGCCGTTGTTCTTAAAAATGCGTTCAAGTACGTTTTAGCCTGTAAACACTATAGAAGGCCCAATTCTTGACAGATTTTGATGAAACTTGGTAATATTATTCAGTATGGCCTAAACAGTTCAAAAGAAGTGCATGTCTGAAGGTTGAATATTTCATATATTTTTAATTAAAATCAAAGCTGCCAGTTGGCGTATATTACCTTGCCTGGCAAGCTATCTTTGTGCAAATTGCTAGTGTGGGTGTCAACCAAGTCCGAATCATGTTCTATAGGCTTTAAAATTCTGTTAAGTTAGGTAGGTAGGTCATACGCACTTCAGATAAATTTCCTTCTATAAACACACAGAGCGCATGGACTAATAAACTCTCATTTGCATAACATTTCCCGCCAAAATACAGGGAACGTATCTGTATCTATCATCATGGCAATTAATTTAATCATAAACTTTCACTCTGAGTATGTCGTGGTCTACCAAATAGAAATGTTTTTTTTTTTTTGTAGCTCTAAAAAGAACATGTTACTCTGACAGGCTGTATCTAAGGCCAAAGTTACAATTGAAACCTTTTAAAAAAAATTAACAACGGGTTTAAAATGGGCGTGTTTTATAAAGGAGGCGTGTACATTGTGAGAAACCTTCAACATGTTTGCCTCATAATGCTTATTATTGTGACGGTAAGTGACCGATATTCAGATAGTAGATAATATAGACGTAGTAAAAAAAGGTCAGTGAAATATTTCTCATGTTATTACATGTTTTATTGAACTGTCATGGTGTATTTAATTTTACGATTAATAATTATTTACTGTACGTAACGCTGGATCATTTAGTTTAGCGTCGTTCACAGAGCAAGGTAAGTACATGTAGTAATATATTTCATTAAATTATATCGATAAGGTTCAAGCATTTTGAACTTTTATACATACAATCATGATTATCAAATGTGTCACCATTTTTCATTTTTGCATTGGCCAGTGCAGTTTAGACCCATTGTTGATACCTTGTGTTCTGACCACTGGTCTTACAATAGAAACTAATGAAATATGCTTTTGTTTATAAGAATGAGAATATGGAAAACCATTCACCAGAATATCTTTTTATACAATTCTTTATTGTATATCAACTTAACTTACCACTATCAGTGGTGCAAGTTGAAAGTAGAACTGGAGCATATCGAGGTCCTCAACAGATCCTTCAACAGTTTTAGCAAAATCTTTGCATTGCCTGTTTTCATTATGTCTTTGTTAGTGCAAAAATCCATTTCATCTCCTGTTAATTTCAATGTATATTTGTCTATGATATGCAAAATATCAATCTCTTGAACTGATGATATTATGTTTTGGAGCTTTAACATTTAGATAAAAAGCTTCTTTTTGAAAGTTAATTTACTAAGTAGTATCAAATGAAAAGAAGTTTGAAAATATAGATACAATAATTAAAAACAAAGGTTAGAAGGGCAAAAAGTTTTGTTTGATAATGGTGACAGTCTAGACATATTGAAGGTAGTTTTATTTAAACTGTGTTATTTTATATGGACTAATTTATAACATAATGACAGAGTAGCATGTCTGTTTTCTCATACCACAGATAAACATTACATTTTCAAAGTTAACAAAATAATAAAACTAGTTGGTGAGGTACAGTTCACAGTGAGATTGTTGTTTGATCTCGTCTCAAACCTGATTATGCCATGTCCTACATCAACTTCAACATAAAGTGCAGTATAGCAAATATTTGGATGCTCAGTATAATTTTATGTTTTTAAACTTGACTCAGGTTGAAAAGAAACATGTTTTGACAGATACATAATGCAGTTAAGTATTTAATTAATGTAGATATTGTGTCGCAATATCTTTAAGACAGCATTTGCATTAAAAAAAATCTTGAAATGACAAGTTACTGAACATTTTTTTAAGCAAATGTGAAGGAGAATTGCAGGAAATCCAGACATTGTTTTTTAATTCTGATATTGATAATATAGCTATGGATAGCTAAAATAAAGCTGTATTAGTTGGTAAATCCATTTGCAGGATAGTATTTTATACAATCTGATTAAAAATTCTTATATATATTTGTCTGCACTGTAATCTAACAAGTTTTCTACCACAGAACATCTATTTTAACCAATCAAAGCATTGTCTAGATAACAATGATGAAAAAATATCAGAAGATTTTAATAAGATGCAATAGTATTTAACTGTTTCTTTTCATTTTGCACATTATAACAACAGTTGGCCCAGTGTATCTCTTTAAAAGATGAATTATTTGTTGGATGAAAGAGATGTCATAGGTCATTAACCTTAATAGATTAATAGGTGTTCTGCTAAAGATGGTTAATATCATTGGTCAAATATATGACCTCACTAGGAGTCAATGTGTGGTCTTTGATAGATAAATATTATTACTTCTCAGGATTTATTTTATGCTTAAACAACTTATTTCAAATTCAATCTATTATTATTATTTTAATCATTGTTAATATTAAAGTTAATGATTAGACCTCCTGGTGTTCCTATTTGACCTTTTCACTCGGTATTGTCAAAATTAAATAGATTTTGTGTAGATCTACCAGCAGGTAGTTTCGAAATGCAATATTTATCAAATGTTTACTACTAGGGACATAAACTAACATTGCATAACCTTTGACAAGTGAATTTGATACGTGATGTTTGTTTTATGATAGAATGTTTGGAAGATGTTAAAGACAGATATACCAAATCAAGTTTTTAGGTAATCCATTAGAATCCTTGAATTTTCCAATTCAGTTAAAGAGTTTGGACTGTTCTATCTTATCTGTAGATAGTAGTGTCTTACAGCACGACAATCATAATTTTTCTTAGGCATTTTGAACAGATTTTTCTTGTTTTCAATTGTCAAAAAAAATATTTGAAGCCCTGTATACATACTTCTCAAGATGGACTTTTGCATCGCCTATGATTTAAATTGTGATTTGAAAGGTATATTGAGGTGATTTGTCTGTGAGCTCTAGGCCTCCTAGATGTACAATAGTGAATACTGTGTAAATTGACACCATATTTAACATGATAATAGATATACCTCTTACAGTTTACCTACAGTCAGTATTAACCTATTGTGATCTACTTTTCTACCTCTAGTTTTCTCTCTAAACATACACCTCACATTTCTCTACTGTCACTCTTATCTATAGGTCTGTACCTACTTATTTTCGCTTAACTTTTAATGCTAGGGTTCATTTGCCTTATTCATTAAAAATCTACGTAGGCTTCCTAATTCCTTCCTCATTTTTCTGTAGATTTTGACATATACCATAAGTTACCAATTTTAAGTCTTTTGATCAATTAATTTGTTGT